AGAAACAAATTCCTATAAATTAAATGTACTTCTTTATTCTTTAAGCATCGAATGGAAAGTGAATTTCATGAATTCGCTTTCCACCCGGCTTAATTCGGAATTGCTCTCAATGACCAATCAGGAAGCTTGATTTCGATGTCCTTAAGCTAATTTTTTTTTGCAGAATTTCTTAGATGAGTTGACACTAATTACTTATGTTAACAAAACAGCGAAAAGTGTTAAAGTCAATTACCTAGTTTCCGAGAAAAGAGTTATTAACAAAGAAAGGATTAAGCTGACCGATGGTGAAAGTAAATAATTTTATCTATAAAAAGTTCCGATGTGTCAACTCAATCTTCGAAAGAATTTATTTCAAAAGAGGCCGAAATTGGAAAGAATTTTCTTATTTACCTAAAGGTTAAAACAGCTGTTAGATGTCCAGTGACATGGCAATTGAGTACAAAACATGCCAAAATCAAAAGAATTGCCGATGTAAATGAAACTGAATTTGCTAAATAACGCATATATTTCTATGTAAATTTATACTCAAATCTAAGAGAGTGATCATTCAAAACATATTAAATTGATTATTTGAAATTGAATTAATTTGAACACTTAAAATAAAATGTAATTAAATTTGCATATTTAAAATGAAGTGAAATATGATTTAAAACAAAAGTAAAAATTTCATTAAATTTCATAAGTGAAATTTCATGCGATATAACCAGACTGTTATAGATAAGTTTAACTTGATAAAGTCTAAACTTTTAATGTAACAAAACTCCCAATTTCAATGTCAATGGGCCATAATTGTTTGTATCTAAAGGAAGGTCTTGTCTCAAGAAATACACATGTGAAGTATGAGAGACCTAGCGCCAACTGTTCAAAAGTTATGGCCAAGGTTAAACTTTTTCAAAAGTAGGTAAAACTCCAAGGTTAAAGGGTCAAAGTTGTTGGTATCCAAAGTAACTTCTTGTCACATGGATTACATATATGAAGTATAATGCCCTGGCACCAACTGTTCAAAAGTAATGGCCAAGGTAAAAGTTTTCCAAAAGTAGGTCAAACTCCCAATTTCAATGTCAATGAGCCATAATTGTTTGAATCTAAAGGAAGGTCTTGTCTCAAGAAATACACATGTGAAGTATGAAAGCCTTAGCACCAACTGTTCAAAAGTTATGGCCAAGGTTAAACTTTTTCAAAAGAAGGTCAAACTCCAAGGTCAAAGGGTCAAAATTGTTGGTATCCAAAGTAACTTCTTGTTACAAGAATTACATATATGAAGTATAAAAGCCCTAGCACGTTGTGACCAAGGTTAAACTTTTTCAAAAGAAGGTCAAACTCCAAGGTCAAAGGGTCAAAATTGTTGGTATCCAAAGTAACTTCTTGTTACAAGAATTACATATATGAAGTATAAAAGCCCTAGCACGTTGTGACCAAGGTTAAAATTGGGTGAAATTTTGCAAAACTGGATCAAAGGTCAAAAGGTCAAATATGATGGTACCCAAAGAAGGAATACACATGTGAAATATGAAAGCCATAGCTCCGACCAACCAAAAGTTATGGGCAATGTTAATGTTTTTGCGGACAAACAGACAGCTAGACAGACGGACGGACAGGGCATAAACTATATGCCCCCGAATCTTCGATTACGGGTGCATACTAAGAAACTTTGTCAAAATAAAAGAAATGAAGATAAAATTCGAAAATTAAAACAGGATGTTAGAATCAAAATGAAATAAAAATATTGAAACAGGAAGTTAGAACTAAATAAGAAATAAAAAAAATAATAAAATTGGAAAAATCAGATTTAAAAATTTAAATAAATAAAAATAATGATATAAGAAAAGAACTACGAAAACGAATAAAAATATCAAAAGAGAACTGTGGCACTGAAGTCCCTCCATAGTTCAATAAGCGAAATATATCAGTTTATTTCGATAATGAATGTGGGGTCCAACGGCCACAAGTGGACTTTGGACCCCTGACGTTGTGAGGATGCAGATCACTATCTAAATGAAAGTTTCCTCGTCAATATTTTTCATTAGCAGTTGAGTTATCTTTCTTTCTACAGCATATCATACAATTTTTCTTTTTGCCAATGGTCATGTGATCCATTATGCCTATAATCTTGCACATACCCCCTGAATCTCCAATCAAGTGCTCTCTGGGCACCGGCGACCGAATCCGTCCGACTTAAAGGTCTTCGCCCACGAAGACACTAACCCAGGCTCTTCCATGGCAGGTCTTTCACCTGTCACTTCCAGGGCATGGCACAGCACCAAATGTGAGAGAAGAAGGATGCGACGGACCAGACCGGCATTCCAACCCGGGCCTTCTGAATCTCCAGTCAGGTGCTCTACCATCAGAGTCATCTGGCCACTGGCGATCGGAACCCGTCTTAGCTGCAATAATGTAGCTCTCTCCGATTTTTTTTAATCTGATATTTTCAGGAGAGCCTCCCCCCCCCCCAAAAAAAAAAAAAAAAATTGAGAGGGCTACATTATTGCAGCTAAACCCGTCTGACCGCAACACATGTAAATAATTTGTAGTGTATATCCAAAATAATGATATTCTGAGAAATGCAGAATTTAATACCTTTGTCTCATGGGGGGGGGGGATATTTTACATTGAGAAATAAAATTATATGTTGTTTTTCAACAAAGAGTACCAGCCATTTAACCCCACCCCCATTCCCCGAAAAAAAAAATTCAAAGGCAACAAAGTATTGATGAACAGAAATCACTGCGGCTGATTTAAATTGGAAAAATTAAGTTTTTAATTACTTTACCTTAGTGTAATGAAAAGGTATCATGTAAATTTAGAATCAACTAGGTGGAGGTTAATGCAAAATTTACACCATGATGACTAGTTGTCATGTTGTAAATTTTGCATTTACCTCCACCCAGTAAATTCAAAATTTACAACATGATAAAGGCTTTAATTTAATGCACTTTGGAATGAAAAGGGTGAAACTAAGTGCAGAACACTCTAACATCATTTATTAATATATCACTCGGATATTGGAACTACGGTGAGCAGTACATAAAGGGTTTTTAAAGACATCAACAACTGTAGCAAAATCTGGAAACAAAAACAATACGTGACCCTGAGACCGTTTAGAGGATTAAAAACAAGTCAAGAAACTTGAAGGAATAGGAATATTGCCTCACGTTCACACATTAAAATGCATGCTTTCAGGTACCATCTGTTATACATGATTAAATTGTACTTTCTAGTGGAATTTTCTCATGTCTTTGTCTGTTTAACCCTTTGCAAAAGAGTTGTAAGATACAGTAAGTGGCCGTACAGGCGCTTCTATTTCAATATTGTGATACTGTGGACACAATATAAGGAGTTTCACTTAATTACTTAGTTAATCACTTAAGTTAGATTACCAAGTGAACATTCAGTTTCATACTCTATTGAGAGGTGCTGAGTGGCAGCTAGACAAGGGGAACAATTCTCTGTCGACAGCATTCAAGGAATTCATTACGTAGTGAACATACTCATGTTTCATTTCATTTTGTGAGAAACTGTATTCTTCAAATGAAATCACAGTGGGATACCACGCTTTGTGTTTCCCTGATTAAGTTATCCTTTTCAGTCCATCTTTTATACTTTATTGTTATCAGAATTTCATTTTCATTTTTAGAGCTAACCAAAGTTATTTCTGCAAATGCCTGTCTTTGTACCTGTTAGATGTGAAGTAAGGCTTTAGAAATCTAAATCTGGCTTCCTGATTCACTCAGGCTCAGATGCATGGGTGTATCTTGTTGAACTTTATAATTTTGTGTAGTTACTTAGTTATTTTTCTCCCATTACCACTGTATGTTTTATTTTTATTAATCTTATACAGTGAATCTTTTTTTTTTTTTTTTTTGGTTCTCTAGCATGTTAGAGAAATCCCTAACGAGAATTTGATTGGTTGCCATGATCATCGAAGCATTTGATTGGTTGCTGTGATTTGTGAAGAAATAATGTACACAAACTTCGAAGAAATTCAGTTTTTGCAATAGGGAAAAAGGTTCCATAATACGTTTTTTCTCCAACTCGCCTTCCCTAATAATTGTCTTTTGACAAGTTAAACAATTAAGTCGACAAATGAATAGGGTGTAACTATTGTTAATTGATAAACATCATCCATATATATCTAAATGTTGAGTTGATGACCACAGCAATTTTTCGTAGACTTTTTGAATAAATTTTGCTTCATTGGAATATAAAATACTTTCATAGATATAGGTCAATCATCACAAAACCCGAATTAGATCTGTAAGTCATCAATATATAGAGACACACCAAAAATCACCTGATCATCTACAAGCATACCCCCCCCCCCCCCAAAAAAAAAAAAACATACTAAACACAGTGAATTATTAGAAATTTTCAAGGTCTTTCGTTAAAATGGGTCAATGAAACCCTAACTTGATCTGTAAGTCATCAGTTTTAAGAGACAAACCAAAAATTGCTCATTATATTTACAAGTATAGCAAAAAAGTCCGGAAAACTAACTATGACGGAAAGACGGACTTTACGGACGGGGTGACACTAAATGCCTCAGTCATTTCATCGCCGGGGCATAATTAATACGGCTTCTCTCAAGATACATTCATTTCAAGAATCTCATCGGAAACCGTGAAAAACCTTTTGGGAGATATTTTGCAGACAGTAGATATCTTTACTTGCATCTTCAACCACGCTCGCCATTAATAATTAATATCTGATTTGCGTTGTCAGAATAATTTTAACTTTCATTGAAATCTCTTTAAGGTATCTTGCGGACAGACAGACAAAATAAGGTTGACGTACAGACTTTCCCCATAATCCTTTAAAATTCTTTCATCAATTTTTGCGATATTTGTTTGAAGGTATAATAGTCAAAAAAGATTAGAAACTGTAACCCCCTCTAGCTTTGTTCATACATTCTCTCTGTTTACAATAAGTAAGAGACACACAATGCAACGTCAAGCTTTTTGTTTTATGAACAAATGAGAAAAAGTGTTGGACAGATTCCCTTCATTCAAATGCTACATTTCAGTGTATTTGGAGTGCAATACTTGGAATAATCCCATCCAAGGTCTTTAAATGTATCAACTAGTTCCACGAGTTGATTTGTTGTCAAGGTTGGGGCCCGTGAATACACTACCGCTCCTTCATAGAAGTAATTAGCCGAGATAGATCCGCAATAGTAAGCCAAAAGAAAAGCTTTCCCGGTGCCAACATGTACTATTCGCCATTGAGCATGCGTATTTTGTCCCATCATCATGCTGGTGTAATTGAAAATACCACCGGAAACCTGGGCAACAGTTTCATTAACCGATCGATGTCTAACTCCGCCTTTAACCGTCTTAACATCAAACTTTTCAAAAACATCGAACACTGTCTTACTATCCAGTCTTGGACTGAAGGTGGTTATTTGGCAATCGAAACAGTCATAGAGAGGATTAAGCCCTTTGACAATGTACCATGACCCATTTAACTGGTCTATCGTGAAGCTCGATTCCACTTTTTGGGGAGGGTGGCAAACCACGGGGGGATTCGGTGGGTCGTTAGTTATACACTGATGGTCGGTCGAGGCACATTTCATAAACGCGTCAAAGACATCATCTTCATAGGAATAAATGCAGTCAAACAGACAGGTCTGGTTATTGGTGGCACACCCTGTTATACACATCATTGCTGATCTGCACCCCTCATCTGCTATGCACTCCGCAGATTGTTTTGCACAGTTCTTAATGATGCAAAGCACATTAGGATTTGAACACTGTACGTATTCCAGAAACAGAAAAACGCACAAAATAATTGTCGACTTCATGTTAGCCTTCCAGAGAGGCACGTGGGGAACTACAAAGATAACACATTACTAGTACTGCATAATATTTTATCTTGATAATCGTCATGTAGTTCCTATTTCTTAAACTAAGCAGATTCAACATTTGATATATTACTTTGTTTTGGAAACAGGTCCAACGATATGCACACTAATCGAACAAAAATATACAAAATATAAAACGTTCTCTCTCTCTCTCTCTCTCTCTCTTTTTACTAATATGGTTATTACTTTCTTCCAACATGGATAAAAACTTAGCTATCCCTTTTGAAATGTTATTAAATATTAATAAACTGTAGGCAACTGGATAACTATTTTTATCAAGATGTGTTTGTGAAACACTGTTGCATGCCCCCGTATGGCAGCTAATTGCGAAGCTTGAAGTTTCTCAAATGCAAGTCAAACTCTAAGTCAAGAGATCAAAAATGTTGGTACCAAAAGAAAGGTTACAAGGGATACACCTTCCTCAAATGCATGTACATGTACCTGTATCAAACAAATATTCTTAATTTTTTTCTAAATAGTGATAAGCAGTGAATTAAAGTAACCTCTTTTATCAACAAATTTATTTGTCTGACAGTTATAATCGGTTACAAGGTTAGCTTTTTTTAAAAAAAAAAAGCTGAGAGTAAGCCACTGGAATACAGAAAGTTTCTTTCTTGTTTTGTGATGGTACGAGTATATGATTTGTTTTATCCATCATGTTGTGTTTCTTAAAAGTCATTGTAATTGTAATCTAAGTTAAATTCGCCTAAGGCCATCTTTAAAAAATTGTTTGGTTGCCCTCTCCCGACCGACTGGCTAAAAAGGCCCCACTCAAAACATTTTTTAACCTCCAGGAAACAATTATTTTTTTTATGCATTTCAGAAAATACATTTTGAAAATTCAGCATTGATGTTAAAATTTTTCTAGGGAATAAAATTTCCCATCTACCTACCCAGACCCAAATTTTTCATCTTGAGAATGGAGAGGCCAAACCAACATTATCTTCTATAAAAAGCACATAAATATTTTCAAAGTATAACATAAAACTGTACAAATTTCCCACTTAGAACAATCTATGTCTTTAATTTTCGTCGAGAACGAACAAAGAATAATGCAGTCTATAAATAGATCGAGGTCATTTCTTTATTCAGAGAGTGTGTGTGAAGAAGCAGGCCTTCTGATTGGTGCAAATAGTATGAGTTTCTTTAGAACAAGTCGTGTAAATATTTTTCCCAGAATTCCAAATTACGCGAGCGCACTTGCAGTTTCATCCCACCGTAACTAGTCAGCCCGTGGGCCGACTAATAATCGTCACACCAAAGGCGAAGTGTTACTCTGTAGTATTTCCAAGAAGTTTTAACATTTGTTTTTTTATCATTTCTAGATCTGATTCCAACTTTTCAAAACAAATAATAAATAAAAATAAATAAATAAAAACACTTGGAATGAATTTGAAACATACTCCCTGCCAATTTAAAATACCACCGCTGGAACGTGAAATTTGAAAGCCCTTGTAGCAACCATTCAGAAATTATGGTCAGGGTTAAAATTTTTCAAAAGTAGGTAGAACTCCACAAAGTTTAACGTCAGGAGGTAAAAAAAAAAAGGTACCTAAGAAAAGGCCTTGTCACAAGAAATACACTTGTGAAATATGTCAGCCATAGCAACAACAGTTCAAAGGCTATGGCCAAGGTTAAAGTTTTTTCAAAAGTAGGTCAAACTCCAAGGTCAAAAAGGCAAAGTTGTTGACACCTAAGGAAAGATCTTAAATTGTCACAAGTAATACATTTGTGAAGTATGAGAGTCCTAGCACCAGGCGTTCAAAAGTTATGGCCAAGGTTAATTTTTTTTCCAAAAGTAGGCCAAATTAATTCCAAGATCAAGGTCGAAATTGTTGGTGCCCAAGGAAAGGTCTTGTCGCAAGGAATACACAACTGAAATATGAAAGCCCTATCACCAACCGTTGAAAAAGATAAGGCCAAGGTTTAAGTTTGTCAAAAGTAAGTCAAACTCTTAGGTCAAGGTCAAAGTCAAAATTGTTTGTACCCAAGGAAAGGCCATGTCACAAAGAATACACATTATGATACGAAGTATGAAAGCCCAAGCACCAACCGTTCAAAATCTATGACCATGATTAAAGTTTGGTAAAATTTTGCAAAAGTGGGTCAAACTCCAAGGTCAAGAGGTCAAATGTGTTTGTACCCAAAGAAAGGTTTTGTCACAAGAAATGCACATATGCAATATAAAAGCCCTAGCCCTTACCAATCAAAATGTATGACCAAGGTTAAAGTTTTTGCGGACAATTAAACAGACAGACGAACGGACAGAGCAAAAAGTATATGCCCCCGAATCTTCGATTACGGGGCATAAAAGTCATAAATTTCTTCACAACGACTCGATTGTAAGCAACCCGTGGTTAAAAGTTGAATGGATACGAACACACAAATCTAATTGTTAAAGATATTGCATGCGTGCGAGCTGCTAGAAACACGGAGAATAAACTCATGATCAAATTACGATCAAGATACATGTATAAACAAAAGAAAAATTTTCCTTCATAATAAAAATTATGATTTTTCTAAAAATTGCAACATTTAAAATCTCATATCAGGCACGTATAAATGGTTTCAAGGGGGGGGGGGGGACTTCCCCCCAAAAATATATACATAAAATCCTAAACACTGACCCAAAAAGGGGGAAGGCTTCCCTGAATATTTTCTCCCTTACTTCTGATGAAAGCCCTTTGCTGTTAGCAATCCATGAAACTATATTTGAATTGTTTTGTAAAGCCAACTGTTTGAAAGATTTCTGAAGAAATGGGTTCTTCCATCAATGTAAGGTAATGACAAATAATGCAATACTTTATGCACTTTCATCCACTTTACACAAATAATTTATAAAGATATAAACAATAAAATGTCTCTGTGTTTGTTAATGCAGGGATAACGATTGCAACTGAAAAAATACATAACCCGCTTGCTTTTTCTGCAATGTCGTAACCGTTATCAATGCTTTAACACATACAGAAAACATTTTATTGTTTAAGGAGACAAAATGCTTTTATTTTGAGGGTGCAGAGATCCACCAGGTATGAATAGTATTAAAAACAGACTTCACGCCACAGGAAGGCTTGGCTGTCCAGTGTTTCATCTATTATGAAAATATCAATGAAATCATCTCTATCAAAACGTTATCGCAGCGGATACTCTAAGTCTTTTGATAAATATATATAATATGCATGGACTCTTTACGTTACATTTAAAGTTTATACTGTCAAGTTAAACTCAGCTATAACAGGCTAGTCAGTCTGAACTTTTAATTTAAAATTTATTTAACAATTAAAATGCCCATTTGATGCATGTACTTCGATTAATGAAGTAAATCACAGTTAAGTTTACCTGAACCACATTTTTTACCAACACTTTGACTTCAAAAATGCTCAAAATTGTGGACATCATCTTTAAAAGTATATTAAAAAAGAATTCTATACAATTCGTTTTTCAATTATCATGCGTGTGATACTGTATAAATGTTGATGTCTATATTTTACATCAGATATTAATTTGATATTAATAAATTTATTACGAGGGATGTGGCAGGAACACAGGCACTTGTTTCATATACGGGGCACTCCTACTTCGTAAAAATAATTAAGTTGGGGGTGCCCGTATACGATGTATTGCCTGTGCCTGTGGGCAGAAATCTAGATCAAAATCATTCGGATAATGTCAAGTTAATCGATAATAGGGGTAATAAAATTTCTATCATAAAGTTGCCTGATACACACACACATCTACACACAATCCCCAAAATTTGTAGTACATACAAATATAAGAACTACAGTCAAACCTATCTCTAACTCGGTGGGACTGTTGAGAAACTTCGAGATATCCGAGTATTCGGGATATCAAGGGTAAAATACTTAAGACGTTGCGCACGGTGTTGGTACACATTAAAGTTACGTCAAAATAACGTTATTGAAGTCATAAAGTTGTTATAACGTTTTAAACGTTATAATTGCATATTTTAGTTGTTTAATGTGAATTTTTTTTTTCAATTCTAAATAAAATAACAGGGCAAAAACTTTTCAATTTTTGAATCTTCGTTGAAAATATTAAGATATAAACTAAAAAAATCTTATAATCTTATAAATAAATTCTAAGATTTTTAATATGAAATTGTCACAGGCATACATATCCCCATTCATATCCTTGATTCCTCTTTCTATTTCATTTTCTCACTTTGTACTCTCCGTCTTGCAAAGAGGAAACACATCAAGTAGCTTTCTATTTCAACCGTTTCTCCTTCATTTTTTTTCCATTAGGTCATTTGAAGTTTTCTATTTCTATCAAGGCCCGCATGCGCCTTGGTTATGGTTTTTGACACCCAAGATCAGAGAAAAGCACAGAAAATCGGTAGTCCTTTTATGCGCGGTTCCAGGTTTTTTTTCCGAAAGGGTGGAGGGTCACACCAATTCCAAAAAAAAGACTCAAACCTTGATTTTGCAAAGGAAAATATTTTCTACGATAGAGAAAATGTGTCTTTCTACGAGAAAAATGGAATTATGAAATCAAAACATTTGAATGATGTAATTTCTATGACAACCGGTGTACAAAGTAGGATTCCCCCATAACACCCCCCCCCCCCCCCCCGGAATCTTAACTCAGGAGTGGGACTTCCCCCGAGGAGAAATCTTACACTAGAGCCTATTTTACCCCTCTTACTTTCTCAGAGTAGTTTTCCCCCTGTTTTATCAATGCTTAAATCATATCGACATTATTTAAGTTTATATGAAAGTCGGCTGATTTTTATAAGGAAAAATTAGTGTTTTCGCTCAAGAATTGTTCAAATTTAATGTGAAATCTTAGTAGTTAAAAAAAAGATACACCAAAAGAAGCATTGCTCTTGCAAGCCGTAGGATAGGTATGACCCCTCAACCACAGAGGTGTAATACTGGACAGCTATTTTAAACCCCAGAAACTTGGAGAGACACTTATTCAATATTATGTACATGTAG